TCACATGGGTAGCAAGCCACTCCCACCCAGTCACATGAGTGGCAAGCCACTCCCACCCAGTCACATGGGCAGCAAGCCACTCCCACAAAGCAGGCCACACCTACAGAAGAGGTTCCACAATTTTTTGAAATCCACCACTGCCACAGCCCCAACATTGTTCAGAATGTGAGATTCCCCCGGCTTCCAATTCCTCTTTCTGTTCTCCCTTATTCGATTCACCTCATCTAACTCCTCTTCATCTACCTCACAATCCCCCTCACTTTGATGAACCTCAGCACTGGGCACGGAAACTAAATTCCTGTTGTTTGTCTGACTCTGACTATTTTGAATAGCTGCTACTGAATTCTGTGCCATCTCTGCAGCCGTAGCCTCCTCCAGGGATGTCTGGAACATTAAATCAGTGTTTGCTAGCAAACGTCTTTGTCATTTTAAATCTCGGACCTCACAGACCATGTGGTCCAACAAGGCATTGTCCATATGTTTAAATTCGCAATTAATGGCAGACGATTGCAATGCAGCCACATAATTATTAATTGTTTCCCCTTCAGCCTGGTTTCTCTTATGGAATTCATGCCTATAAGCTATCTTAGAGGGTGTGGGGGCATAATGATTATTTAATTTTAATTTCAGAGCTTCCCAGGACACCTCGTGAATAGAAGTGGGTGCCATTAGAGATCTGGCTGTTTCAAATGTTTCAGCACCACACACAGTTAAAAAGTAAGCACATTTCTGCTCATCCGAAATTTCTGAAAGTTCATGTGCCCATAGGAAACATTCAAATCTTGCTGTGTATGACTCTCATTTCTCTACATTTGGGTTAAAAGGTGGGAAAACCAATTGCAAAACCATCTCCTATACCGCTACCCCCAGCGCCTGAGGTAATGTTTACTCTTAAATGGTCCGCTTCCCTATTCCTACTTAGCCGATTATTGTGATCCCACCTTCGTTGCCACTTTGTTGTATATAATGACAGGTTCAGGATGCAATAATCAGGCAATGGTTTGGTTAAATAAACTTCTTTATTAACAACAAAGAACTCCAACTCTAAAATCCCCAGAGAAACGTGAAGCACAATTTGTGGTCGACAGCTCCTTTAAATACCCTGCTATCAACCGGGACTGTCCAATCAAAACCAAGCATTGCTCCAGCTAAAACAATAATCAATCAAAATCTTAATACTCAACAGAAGGGACTCAGTGAAAAATTGCAGACTAGTAACTATCTGCCAAGTTTCAACAAGGAGATTTTTAAAAGGTATGGTGTTTTGTTTACTTAATAAGAGAAGTGTAAGTACCAGCTAGATTTTATAATAGTAATTTGAATACATACAACTTTTTCTCTCACATTTTATCTTAAGCTATGATTAAATTAATATTATTAATATTATTCCATAGCTCCAGGATGAACCATCATTACCCTCTTTTCCTACCATTATGTTTAATAAAGACTTCTGAAAATGGTGCACTACTTCGTTATTAAAAATAAATAATTGATTAAAAAGATCCTAGTATAAATTACTTTTCAGAAGGAAATGTATCAAATCTGGTGGCATAGGCATAAATATAATTATGTAATTAGCAATTTAAAGCTATTTGAAGTTATACCACATTCCCATGAATCTGCTTTTCTTGCTCCATAAAATATTCTGACATACATTTATTAGATTTCAAATTCATTGATTATTTTCATTTTACAAAACTGTCTTTTACCTAAGTATGCTACATCTATGGCCAAAGAATATGCTGTAATCCCATAAACTGTCAAAGACTGATAGAGAAAGCTGAAATAAAGATACTTGGCTATCATCTTGTTTAAATTCAACATAGCAATTATTGTGAATATAATTTTGTGATGCTTCTTACAAAGGTATTATTGCTAGCAGAACTTGCCACCTATAGCGCAAACTGATACATAGATCTGGCAACACTTAACGTTCAAAAGAATCAAGGTATATAAAATATATTTGTGTATTTAATACAGTCTGATAGGAAACTTGAATATGAATATCTGACTTTTATCCTCCATGAATATTTGACTTTTTTCAGGAAATGCTGAAAGATTTTAGAATAGTATTGTTGTGAGTTATTTCCATCCAAATAATAATTTACATTTTTAAAATCTATATCAGTGCTTCCCAAACTTTTTCAGTCCACTGGTGCTACAAACTGATGCTCAGTGCCCCCCCCCACCCAGTGGTGGAATTCAATTTTTTTTTACTACAGGGTCTGTGGGCATGGCTTGGGGTGTGTGACTGGGGTGTGTGTGGCATGTGATTGGGTAGTTTGCACAATGGAAGGAAGATGGTAACAGTAAAATTCAAAACTGTANGCTCCTATTTTCTTCTCTTGCCAAGACATCTCTCGTGCTGACCCTCATCTCTTTGTTTTTCCCCCCCGATCCTACTCTTTTTTCCTACTAGTCTCTCCGTAACTCTGGTTTGATACAAGAAACCTGCCCTTTGAAATGTCCCTTTAACCATCGGGGCATAAAACTTTTTCAGGCTGAGCGCTGCCCTTGGTCTTTGGAAACTGGGGTTCTATTTCAGAAACTAGAAAGGGGACGAGACAAAAATGTTTCTTGGGTGGAGATTACAATTTCACCTGGTTTAATTCTGGTTCATTTAATTTGTTAAATAATTAAAGTTCTATGCAGGAATAAGAATGTCTCTCTTGGGTTTATACTTTCCTTTCCTTTTTTTGTTGTTATGGAAGAAAAGGAAAAAAAAAATTGTAGCCGCTTTTAAAGGAGACCCCAGATTTTCAGGGGGTTGTTTAAGGTTCAGGAGTCTCACTTTACATCACGGCTCAAAACTTTTTAACGCCTTGCCTACAACTTTAAAAGTCTATCGAAAATATATAATACAAGAGTTCCTGCCATTCTTTCCCTCTTCACCCTTGCCTTGGTGTTCATCCTATTTACTGCAAAATTTAGATTGGGAAATAGTTGGGGAAGGAGTCTCTTGCCTGCTTCAGTCTTTCATGCCATTTCCCACTTCCTCCAAATTCCTCCAGAAACATTCTGAAACAATCATCTGAGGGAGGCCCTAACCATGCATCTCCAAGAACATTCTGGAAAAGTTTCAAAACCCATTTATTTTACGCAGCCTTTGGCAGCCGAGGGGAAACAATGCATGCCCTAGCTCCGTTATTACAGTCAAGCAAGTTTTTCCTTTGCCATTAAATGACAGGCAACAATCCAAACCTTCAGGCTTTACAAAGTTTCACCCTTGAATTAAAAATAAAAGAAGGGGTTGGGATTGAGTGCTCATTTTTTGAAAGACAACCAAGATCAAAGAATCATGACGTTGCCCCTTATGGGTTGCATTATAACGTTTAATCTGACCTTGAAATATAGACACTTAAAACAATACTGATTGCTTTTGAAGTTGGTCTAATCACAAAAACGGGCAAAGTTACTTTCAGCAGTTCAAAAAAACAAGGTTCAAGGTGCTACTTATCACCTATAAAGCCCTTCATGGTAGTGGGCCTGGGTTTTTGAGAGACCGCCTACTGCCAATTACCTCCACTAGACCGAT